TACTTTTTGCTTTTAGTTAGCCTTTTGCTACTTTTAGTTACTAGCTAGACTTTTGCTACTTTTAGCAAATATTTAGCTATTTAGCCTTTAAGTAGACGATAGTTAGAAACTAAAAGTAGTAACTAAAAGTTTCAAGTATAAACTGTGGCTAAATAATACATATATAATAGCTAAATATTTGCTTGAAATAGCTAAATGATATTTAGAAACTAAAAGTAGTACAAAACAAACTAAAATTTAAAGTAGTAAGAGGCTAAACTGCAGAGGTTAAAAAATGTATCACAGTTTAGCCTGTTACTACTTTAAATTTTAGTTTATTTTGCTACTTTTAGTTTCTAGCTAAAATTTACTTACTTTAAGCAAATATTTAGCTATTAATTGTATTATTAAGCTACAATTGAACCTTTTAGTACATTTAGCTTTAAGTTGGTGTTTTGCTACTTTTAGATAGTATTTTGCTTCTTTTAGCTTGAACAATTCTGTTTTAGTTCAATTGTGAGCAGTCATTCATCACTCAATGCATTGCCACTGAAAATACAAGCTCTATGGTTGCAGTAAAAACTAACCCTGCATTTTATCTCTCCGGTATATTATATTTTAAAGCAACAGACACAAAATCGTTTTTGCACATCATTAGCATCAGTGGAAGCACAAGACAGAGTTTCAGCTGTAAACTAACTTTACAGATGAAGGGAGTACCGTGAGCTGATTTTAAAAAGCCTACCGCAGTAAGGAGTGGTTCCGAGCAGCAACACGTCTGGCAAAGGAATCATAATTAACTGTCTCAGATGCTCCTACAGAAAAGAGGAACAGAAAAGAAAGGAAGAAGCACATTTTGACTAAAGTGAAACAGACAGGAGAGAAAACCTTGAAGTCCAGCTGAAGTACTTTAACCTCCTAAGACCCGAACTCTTGCATATGTGGATGCCAGGTCCTAGGAGATTAATGGATTTCAGTGTGTGTGTGTGTGTGTGTGTGTACAGCACATAGCAGTTCGCAAAACGCATGTATTGGTAAAATGCCAACAAATGCATGCTAAAGGGTGCAGTCTGTCTCCCTGGTGCAGAGCTTAAACCTTAAAAAGTGACGCCTTGTTTCAGGGCCATAGGTAGCTCAGATCCATGGACGTGTGCACAGCGTGTGTAACTGCTGGCAAGTGTGTGGGAGGAATCTTAATGTTCTAAAAGACAATTACTATTCATTTAGCATTTGATGCAGAGCAGTCCAGTTTGCTGTTACAGTCTTTAGTTTAACTGTTTAAGTAATACCATCAAAACAAAATGTTCAATTGAACTCATGCTATTAGAAATAATCTATCAGCTGCACTTTGTTTCCAGTGCAAATCAACCACAGTCTGATCAAGTTAAAGTAATGAATGAATGTTAATACATCTGCTTAGCTTTATTATGTTAGCTTTACATTTGCTCACACACTTGGCAGCAACGCTCAGGCAGACTCGAGTCATCAGTTGATCGATTCCAACATGCCTCTGCAGCATCTTCTGTGAACTCGCTCTACTCCAGCTCTTATTTTTCAAACTGTGCCTAAATTAATCAATGTCTGCCCGTCATGGATGCTGCTGGTTTCTGTACTTTGCTTTTTCATTTTGCTTCATGAAAATACAAGGAGGTCTCAAAACCAAACCAAATCACCAAATTTAAAATTTCAAACGCTTCAGTTTTTTTTTTTGATGAGCTTAAACCTCTGAAACAGGCAAATCAACGTTTTCGTGTCACTGATTTTGTGAGTCATGGCAGAGTTCTGTCTGTCTGCAGCTTTACTTGCTGCTGCTGCTGTGCCCTGATACAGATTATACAGACGTTTGCTTATTTAGGCCACACGTCTTAAGAAGAACTACCTGATTTTCTGCAACGCAAGTTAGACAAATTGTGTGTGCTCACACAAAAACTGTAGTAGAATCTAAAACAAATTCAACAACAAGAACAAAAAAATAAATAAAACACCCCCTCACCAGATAATAAGTCTTGATTTGCTGGACAAGAAAGTTCAAGTTCTGAATCTTCTGACTTGGGTCTCTGCAGGTGTTTGTTGCACCTTGAGGTGCAGCTGAGGGATTTCTGAAAATCAAAAACAACACCGAACAGGGCATTATGAGAAAAAACATGTAGTTATGATATAGAACCGAACGTTGTGCAGACTGTATCAGTTACAATCAAGCCATATGTTCTGTGCTGCGATAAGGATTTAAAAGCGTGGAGATGGTCCGTCCGGTTGGCAATTTTTAAATCAATTTTTACATGCATGTTGTGTTTTCACTTTTTTTAAATACTTAGCTGTAAAGATATGGAACGCACTGATTCATTCAGGTTACATGTGTGTGAATGAGAGGGAGGCCGGTGGAACAGTGAGGCTACAAGAAGCAGAGGTCACAAAGGTGCAGGACTTCAAGGACTTGGGGTCCACGGTCCAGGAAAATGGGGAATGTGATAAAGAGGTGAAGAAGAGAGTCCAGGCAGGATGGAGTGGATGGAGAAAAGTGTCAGGAGTGATTTGTGATAAAAAGATGTCAGCAAAGGTCAAAAGAAAAGTTTACAAGACAGTGGTGAGACCAGCTATGTTGTATGGTCTGGAGACAGAGACATGGACAGAAAGACAGGAGAAAGAACTGGAAGTGGCAGAAATGAAGATGTTGAGGTTCTCCTTAGGAGTGACAAGGATGGATAAGATTAGGAATGAGATCATCAGAGGTACAGCACTGGTTGAACAACAGGGAGATAAAGTTAGAGAGACCAGACTGAGATGGTTTGGACATGTCCAGAGGAGGGACAGTGGGTATATATTGGTAGAAGGATGTTAGAAATGCAGCTGCCAGGAAAAAAACAGAGGAAGGCCAAAGAGAAGATATATGGATGCAGTTAGAGAGGACATGGAGGTAGTTGGAGTGAGGACAGAGGATGCAGAGGACAGAGTGAGATGGAGGAGGATGACTCGCTGTGGCGACCCCTGAAGAGGGAAAAGCAGAAAGAAGAAATGCAGCCCTAAAACACCATCCATCCGTCTGCCCGTCCGTCCATCCATCCTTCCATCCATCTCACCAAGACACTCTCCAGATCCTCCTGGGGTATCCCGAGGCGTTCCCAGGACTCACAGTCCTAGTGGAACATGCACAGAAAGCCTCCCAAGGGAGCTGTCCAGGAGGCATCCTAATCAGATGCACAAACCAACTCCACTGACTTCTTTTGATGCAAAGGAGCAGTACTTCTACTCTGAGTTCTGCCCAGATGACAGAGCTCCTCACCTGCCATTGAGGTGAAACTCCCTGTCCGCAGAGCTGGTTTATGCCACCAGGAATCAACATGCCCAGTGACCCTCCCTTGCTAACTGACTGGCCTTTGATGCACCCGACCTCATCAGTCCTCTTCTTAGGTAGTGGGACACATAGAAGTGATATATTGTCATTCTGTTGAGCTTTGCCTGGATAAGCCTTTGGATCCAAGGCTTGACCACCTGTTCTTACTGGCAAGCTCTCCCCCAGGACTGGTTCCAGAGGGGTGCCCCAGTTTCTGTAATCCAGGTGAGGTTTCCTGATGCATGTGTTTGTTATCAATGAAAGTTTGACAAATTTCTATTGATAAATGGACTGTACTTATATAGCACCTTTCTATCTAATCAAGATACTCAGAGTTCTTTACAACACAATCTGTGCCCTCATTTACCTCCACACACATTCATACAGCACTCTACTACATCTCTACAAAACTAATCAAACAAATCATTCTATAGAGAATAATCAGTGCTTTAGATCACATTCATACACCGATGGGACACACATCGAGGGCAGTGAGGGTTCAGTGTCTTGCCCAGAGACACTTCAACATGTGACTGCTGTTGGAATCGAACCCCCAACTCTCTAATTGGAGGACGACTGCTCTAACCACTCAGCCACAGCCGCCCCAACCCCACACCCCAAATACATTTTACCTATTTGCAAACAGACAAATGATTCTCACTAAAACTGGGTGAGAGAAAACTACAAGTTAGTAAAAGTCTCGTCTCAAAATCTGCCATTCATTCCTAACTTTCGCCCACGTGACATCATTCTTCCAGACAAGGGTGTTTTTGAGTTAAACTGGGGGTGGCATTACACTTTCCACTCCAAAGCAATGCTGTAGCCACAGTGGTGAGCTGTTAGATTGACTCTTGTGGAGTCCTGAGATGAACTGTCAAAGTGTGACAACTCATTGACCACAGTGGCGTTACATGTAGGTCAGATTATTTATTTATTTCGCTCAGTGTCTGCACAGCGAGATTTGCTGGCAAACCAGACAACTTTTAAACCCTTTGATTCAGACACATAACAAGTGATCATATTTGTTAGTGGATCATAAACCTGCCTGTCTCTCTACATGCTGTTTGTCCCGTTTCTGATTCGGTCTCTCCCCCATCGGTGTCTAACTGCCACTAAACAGCAGGCTCTAATCCCAGAGGGTCTCGCAATCTGGGAGATTATCCCGCCTCTTCCCCTCCCTTCATTGCAGCATTGTTTTTGAATTAGGAGCTGGTCATGGTGACCATTAGGGGTTTAAGTGGGGTGAAGTGATGCTGTTAACTTGGAGTGGCTAGACAGAATTATCCACAAGTGCAATTTTGGATCATTGATCATTATTCGGATTTCCTCTCTATTTACAACACATCAAATCCAGATTCTACATTTAGAGTGATTTTTTAAAAAACATGAAACACGCCCACCGTCAGTCAGTTTGTTAAGGATGGGGGTAAAGCCATCAGAACAGAAGGCAAGCAAATTATAATCTCTTAAGTAGCATCTATGATGTCCTTTAAGTTTGAGCAAATCTTGTTTTTCTTCAAGCTGATGCTTCAAATCAACACATAGCCTTCACAGTAATTTTGACATTTTCTGAGAAAACTATAAGTAGCGAGGAAGTTATATTTAAAGTTTAAGACTGACTACAAAGATACCCTTTATTACTGCAGACTGACAATGACTGCTCTGTTGGTGCTTGGATAAGAATTTAAGAAGAAACTGTATCAGTAACTGTTTGGTTGTGATATAAGAGGAGACAAAAAGTACAAATCTAAACTTAAAAGGCCTAGCATTCCTTGAAGGACCATATGCTGGTCGCCATCATTCATGCGAGTGTTTAAACTGAGATCATTTTATGTTGAGAAACAACAGAGTTGTAGCCATTTTGGTCAAACCATGAGAAAAATCATATCACAGAGTATTTGATGTGAACGACATTCAGCTAATACCCGCAAATACACTTAATACCTGCAAAAATGACTACCGGTAATATCATTTTTATTTTTAGGATTAATTGGCTGTGATGACAATACTGAACTGAACTGTCTCCAAAAGACAATCGCTTGTAGATGTTTGTTCAATGATCGTGTCTTGACAGTTTAATGAGAATACATGGCGTGCATTATGAGATATTTTGCTAATAGACAGAAACCCACACCTTTAGGCAGGTGATAAAACACCACAATGCACAACCAATGGCATTAACACACCCACATTTAGTTTTCAATGTATAAAAGCATCATAAATGCCACCAGTTTGAAAACACAGACTGGTTGCACAAACAAACCGACTTACATTTGAGCCATTATCTCATTCAGAATCACTCCATCCAGCAGGTCTGAAAAGTCCAAACGAGCGCCTCCATCATTTGGAATGAACGTCTTGACCTAATAAGAAAGATGCAAGATGTTACAGTAATATTACAATCTCTGCAAGAGCCACAACCTAAAGGTTTCTGCACTTACCCAAGCGACAAGAGGGCTGAGCATGAAGTGATCCAGCGAGGGCAAGAACACTCCACTTTCCATCTTTACCAAGGTTGTGAGAGAGTCCCAGAAGAAACTGTTTCAATAAGGATAGCTAAGCAGAAAGCACTTCCTTTACAAAAAGTGATCCCGTCTGAGAGCAGTGCACCTTGCAGGCAGTCCCACTCATTTCTTCCAAAGGTACAGTATTCTTCCTACCATGGAGCGTTTATTTCAGTCACGAAAAGCTCAAAATTAGCGTCCAAACATCTCTGAATTTGCTCCGGTGACACCACAGAAACACTCATCCTGTCTGGTCATTTGCTGCAAAGGCATCAACACAACCCCCCCCCCCCCCCCGTCTCTCTCTCCTCCTCCTCCTCCTCCTCCTCCTCCTCCTCTAACCAGCCTCCCTGAGTCTCAGAGAGCTGGCTAACGCTGAATTTTAACCAGACAACTAAGTACTGAAAAATACTTAAATAACCACATTTTTTCTAAATAAAATGTAATTTTCACGGCTTCATTTTTTTATTTATTTAAAGCTAGTTACTAGCGAAATGCTAACAGTAAAATTAAAAACATACTTCTCCCTCCGTCGTTAACCGGTTACCATGGCGACACCATAAATACCTTTATGATAATCACAACGGCTAACTTCCGGTTAAGTAACCTAGCTTAAAAAAGTGGCTAAACAACGTTATCATTATTTAACTTTTGTAATTTAAACGCAAAGAGTGTGGAATTTTTCTTTTCTTACAAAGAAATTCCTGCCATCGGACTGCCCTTGAGGGAGATGACTTTGTTTTAGAGATAAATTCGCTCTAAATGTTAATTAAACAGTTGTCCATCTGAATCCAACAGCCTTCCGACCATGAATCTCATTCTATTAAACTTCAGCAGCCAAAGGTGTTGCCAGATAGAGTCTAGGTTTTCAGTCCAAAAATCTGTTAAAAACCGCCAAATCACACACAAAAAAAACCCCCCGCTCAAATTGTTACAGTATATTTACTGGTTGAACATGAACGCCCATCAATTCAAGCCAAGGAAATTTAACAATATGTGGCAAAACGCAACAATCCAACAATTATCTTCGCAGAAAGTTCCCAGCAAAATCAGATTGAAAAACGCACAGTGGGCAAATAATTACCCAATCTGGCAACACTGGCAGCATAAAGGCTTCGTGTAATGATGCAGCAGCGCCATCTTGTGGTATAAAATGAGCAGAACCGATTTTAGTTTAAAATCACATAAAATTAAATGAAAATTAAAAAAATATATATTGTGTTTGGATAAAAATATATATTTATCTAAAGAAGTAAACACAAAATGTGTTCATATATATAATATATACTAATTCATTCAATTTTTATTTAGACAGGTTAATCCCATTGAGCCTCGAGGACTCATTTACAAGAGAGACCTTTTTTCAATAAAGAAAGATGACAACAATGGACAACAACGAAAATATGTAACCATATTTAATATATAAACCATATATAT